TTAACCTTGGCCATAACTTTTGAACGGTTGGTGCTAGGGTTTTCATACTTCACCTGTGTAATCCTTGTGACAAGTTTTTCCTTTGAATATCACGAACTTTGACTCTTTGACCTTGACCTTGGAGTTTGACCTACTTTTGAAAAACTTTAACCTTGGCCATAACATTTGAACGGTTGGTGCTAGGAACTTCATACCTCAGATATGTAATCCTTGTGACAAGACCTTTCTTTGGATACAGCAACTTTGACCCTTTGACCTTGGCCTTTCCTTGGGCACCATTAATTTTGACCATTTGACCTTGACCTTGATGTTTGACATACTTTTGGAAAAAAAACTTTAACCTTTTCCATATCTATTCAATGGTTGCTGCTAGGGCTTTCATACCCGGTATTTCACAGGTTTATTCCTCGAGACAAGATCTTACTTTGGGTATATGTACCCACATATTTCATTTGCAATTGAGAAAGTTTAACCTTTGCTATAAGTTGCCATACTGGGGCATCAGTGTTTCACAAACACATCTTGTTTCTTTCTGAAAAAGTTGTCCAAATTTCGGCAAATCACACACTATTCTCCCAACCATTGTTTTCGTCCAGTTTTCCGAGCATATATGTATATGTTCGTCATTACAGACGAGAAAACCTCAGTTGTTTGTGCAAATTGGAGTGTGTTTCTTCTAGTTCTCAAAATATTTTACAGAAAGCTGAGTTAATATGTACACATTTGTTTTTGAATTCTTAGCTGTGGGAAGACATTATTATATAAATCAAAGATGGGATAAAGATAGAGAATTTAACAGACAAATACCCGCGTGGCGCAGTGGTTAGAGCGTTCGCTCTAGAATCGCGGAGTAAGGAGTCGATCCTTACGTCGCTGGTTCGAATCCCACTGTGGGACGTGGAGACCGGTCCTTCGGATGAGACCGTATAAACCAACGTCCCGTGTCACAGTAGGTGCTGGCACGAAAAAGATCCCTCACTGCTCAATGGCCCTAAGTGCGGAGTATAGGTCAAAATGTGTAGCTCTCCACCGGCAAGTGGTGGCGTCTCCATATGAGTGAAAAATTATCGAGAGGGACGTTAAACAATAAACAAACAAACAAACAGACAAATACATTTTATGGTCCCAGCTGATAAAAGTTGAATAGTTCAGAATCAAAATTTATCTTTTATCACAATTTTTGTTCAAAATTAAAGAATATTTGATGCCTATGACAGTAGGTTTAGTTTTAGTGATATAGTCTGCAACTTGTGTATGTCCAAAGAAGAAAACACATCGCATAAATGTGTCTCTCACTAATTAACAATTTTCAATTGCCAAATGACTATAGTCATGTACTCATTAGCAATGGAGAAGTGATGGTTGATGAACAACAGATTTGTTCTTTCTTTACGTTTTTTTTTTATCCTTAGATAAAAAATATTGATGTTTTTAATCTTAATCAACAAGCTCGATGACATCTCAAACTACATGTCAACATTAATGAGAATTAAATTCAGAGTGTCTTTTATGAACATACATAAACCATACATTTAATTGCAGAAATACACAGAATTACACTTTAAACCCTACATTTATTTATTTTCCAAATGGGAAAGAATAGGATCCACGCTAAATGTTTGGTCCTTATGATCCAATTATGTGTATCAGTAAAAACCTTTAATGATTTAAATGACTAAATATGTGAAGTTAAGATAGTCATCCAGTAATTTAGCTTATTTAGGAGAGGAACAAGGGAAATGACACGGGCATTTGACATTTTTAAGAGCCATTCTCTAGTGACTTCAACTTTTATATATAGGATGTATAGTCTCAGAATTTCTCCAAACTCTCTATGATGAAAGTCTTTGATACTGTAAACTCAAATCAGGCAAAACTGGCTTGCTGTATGTTATGGTTTCTATGGCAGCATGCCTTAAAGTTTCAAAAATGGCATTTTTGAACACGTTCAGACTCCCAGAGTTAACACTTGCAGAAATGCAAACAATTTACAATGACTGTTTCCAATAGTTGAAGGCCTGATGTCTTCAATGGATGATAAAAATATCTTGGAAATCAACTATTACATACGTTACTATGGAATCAAAGTATTCAAAAACAACTTTATTCGTCCATTTTTATAGTCATACTCTCAAAAATTAAAGCAATGATAGGTTGAAATGCAACCAAATAATAAAGATCCTTGTAACGTACAACTATTTACCAGTTTTGAGTTTCCATGTTTTTTCTCAAGAAAGCAGCATACACCAAAACTTACCAACCACTTTTTTACGAGACCGAAGGCTCAAGAGAACTTTCTGATCAAAATTTGACTGTCGTCGTCGTTGTCGAAAACTTCATAAAATTTCATCTTCTCCAGAACCACCTTGCCAGTTTCAATCAAAATTGGCACAGAGTATTCTTGGGTAAAGGGGTTCAAAGGGGTCACATTTATATAGAAGCACCCTCAGGTAGTGTAGTTCAAGTTTATTCAAGTCATGACCCCCAGGGATAGGGAGGGACCACACTGGGGGATCAAAGTTTACAAGGGAATACATACTAGGAAAAATCTTTAACAATCTTCTTCAAAGGAACAGCAAGCCACGATTGGTCACATTTATATGGAAGCATCCTCAGGTAGTGTAGATTCAAAGGATGACTGCACTTAAGGACATGCGAAATTTGCGACAAAATAAACTTTCAAAACAAGCATTTTTCTTTTCATTGCAAGAATGGTCAAAATCCAATCTACAACTTTATGTAATTACGTTTAATAAAAGTGTGTATTTACGAAGTTTGAATCTGTTTTCAAAGGCAGGGGTCATCCCAATTTCTTGAATCTCCGTTCGATAATGAAGACGCCCACTTTTTTACTGACTTTATACATAGTCAGCGCATGTTTGTCTATTGTTCTACGTTTAACAGTAGTTGTATATTTGCATAAATAACAATGTGCCAAAAGGAGATCAATAGACAAATATGCGCTCATGGTTAAAAAGAGAAAAAACTGCTTCTTCTTACATTCGTTCTCTGTGTTGTAACCAAGGATTGTGACTTGTTGAATATTATAATTCACCACGTGATTTCTTACCTCAGGTAACTTTGTGAATACTAGATTCCGTCACGTGACTTGTAAGGTAGCATGTTATGTGCTAACTAGGACATTGTGTTCGAACACGTTAAGTCATCTGGCATTGATATAAAATCTGCTTTAATCACATTAACGTGTTCATATTGTTAATTTCGTTTTGAAACCTTTGTCAGAAGTGTATTTGTGCCACACAGAATAGAGAGGGAGATTGGAAAGAGTGGTCACGTTCTTTTTTCCAAACATGTCATTGTTATTTATCAAGTCTAATTTTAGACCCATTCTTACAATGTTAGCCCCACCTCTCTTGCATATCTAATGTTCAATCAAGGGCAGGTAAGTGTAAATTCACTATATTTGAAAAGCAGTAAGGACAAAAAACATTGAATCATTTTATTGTATCACAGTCTAAAATCATTTTAAGATTTAAATTTGGTTCCAAATTGACAGGATTCTTTCATAAACATACAAAAGTGAAATAAGATTTAGATATAAAAGCAACAGAAGCAATCGAAAAGGACCCAAAAACAGGCGTTAAGTGCAGTCATCCTTTGTTCAAATCATGACCTCTGAGGGTAGGGTGGGCCACAATGGGCAATCAAATTTTACATAGGAATATACAGGAAATATTTTAAAAAATTTTCTCAAGAACAACAACGCCATAATTAGTCATATTAATACAGACACATCCTCAGGTAGTGTAGATTCAAATTTATTCAGATCATATCCCCTGGGGGTAGGGTGGGGCCACAACAAGGAATCAAAGATATATATGGAGATATATAGGAATTGGCAGGGTAGATTTCAAATTTGTTCAAATAATGACCCCCGGGGGGTAGATTGGGACCACAATGGGTGATCAAAGTTTTACATGTATGGCAATGTATAGGAAAAACCAATGAAAATCTTTCCTCAAGGACAACAAAGCCAAGATTAGTCATGTTCAAATCATGATGCATCAGGAGTAGAGAGGGGCCATAACAGGGAATCAAAGTTATTCAAAGAAATATATATGAAAATTCATTAGAAATCTTCTTCTCGAAAACAGCAAAAGCTTGATTAATCATATTAATGCAAAGGCATCCTCATTTAGTGTAAATTCAAGTTTGTTCAAATTATTTTCCCCGGGTAATAATAGAAGATCAATAGTATAGAAATAAATCTTTAAAATTTTCTAAAGCCATGATTAGTCAAAGAAATATATTGAAGCATCCTCAGTTTAAGTTGATTCTAATGCATAAGACATTTTGGCTACATAATGTTGCCAACATTTTTTTTTAAAAAGAAATCGACATTCTTTTTGCTCAATGAATTGTCCATTCTTAAATTTAAAAAATGGAAAATCCGACAATTGTGTTTTTTAATGTGAGGTCTTTTTTGTAAGTATATATATGTATGTATTTAAAGTATTTTGCCTATTTTTAGAATTATGAATGAAAGACCTTTGTTAGAAACGAAAAATGATTGAAAGTGAAACAAGGCTTACCAGTAAGCCAGTTGCATAAGATACTGAGCTGACATATATGGTAATAAAATATTAAGATTTATGCACAACTGACTTAAATCATCGTTTGTTTTACCGACGAACATAGCAGGCTAGATATTTAATTTGCCTCTCTCCTCAGACGTGTCATCTAAAGAAGAACAAATTTAGAAACTAGTGATTTTTGTTTTGGCGCTAAGTATAATTAGGACTAATTAGAATTTACGACACAATGTGACTTTGCCATATGGTATTTGTCTTCAATTTTGTCACTGTGTAAAATATGTGCTTGCCGTACCTATGCTTACACAATAGTACTTTTAATAATTTGAAACTCTGTTCTAGTCCAGATCATCCTTTTTTTTTTTATTTTTTTATTTTTTTAAAAAGAGGTTTCAGAACAAAAAACACAAGAAATACATGTATGAATTCAACTTTTATTGTCCACATATTCTTTGAATAAATAATTATGAGCAATTGTACAATTTTATGTGGGATTTTCAGACATCTGTATTACATGTATAGTACGACTCCACGGATCACAACACGGTGTGGCACAATGGAAACAGAGCAGACACAAAATAACAATAGGAATTCATTCTACAATAATATATAGTCTTAAAGAACCGATTCGTGGCCTATGGTTGTCGGCATTTTAAAATAACAACCCGTTTTCACATTTCTATAATATCGCACTTAGAGAAATTTGAACACCTACTGTAACAGTAAGTGCGCAGACGCGGGAACTGGCGGGTGGTGAATTTCGTTGCCACGAAGATGACTCATACCGTCATCGCCAATATCATCAATGTCACTAATGTCACTGTCATCTTTATTGTCATCGTCGCTGTCCATGTCTCTTGAAGAAGTTTTGCCAGGACTGTTTGGTTCTTCTCCATCTTCCGTTTTTATCCGCTTATGTTTCGTACGTCTGTTTTGAAACCATACTTTCACCTAAAATGTTCAATTAAATCTTTAATTTCTGTGGTATAAGTATTCAACTCCCCCCTCTTTTGAAAAGAAAATAATAAGAAGCTTTTGATTACTGTATTCTTATGATTTTCTTATCAAATATTGAAACATTGGAAGAGAGATTTAGCGGAAACTGCTAAACTTCAATGACCAGTAGAGATCACAGCATTTTGAATACACAAGGGTAACGCACAATCATTATCACTCCTTATTCTTAATCTGTCCTTCAGCTAAAGGGGAATCAAAATGATTCCCACAGGACAACTCCTGTCAGTAAAGCGCAGAATTCAGACAACTTATTTCTCGTGTTGGTCTTTAATTAGGTGTGATATTTGCTGTGAAAGGGTTATCAAAGCCCCGTCGTCCGTAGGGAAGGATAAGGCAACACCCCCTAGACAACCTCTGTAACCATCGTTAGCGTAGCGTCGGAATACCTTATCAGAAAATGTCTATATCAACTAAGCGTGCACAACTCTAATTATCCTCTTATTTGCAGCTTCAGCCTTTTCGTTTTCAGTTATTTTTGTAATGAAAAGATACTCTCAAATAAATGGCGGGAATTCTTGTTAATTAGATTTTGATTGCAAAAGTAATCCTTTTGATAGCAGGAACAAAGTGGGGTTCTTTATCTTGCGGTGGCTGGCCACAAGTGCGCAGTCGACGGTAATTTAATCTCCCGTTCGGCCCATCAAATAGATAATCAATCGTAATAGTTTCATTCAGAACATGGGGGATTAGCTGTGGAATCGTCCCATTAAAACTATCGGCATATATTGTAATATTGTACAAAAACCGACAACGGCTTAGAATTCAATTCATTCGAAACTAAATTAAATATGGCGATTGCAGTAATTTAGTCTATTAAATACTTCTGATAGGTTTTTTACTCGGTGGCAATTTATCTCTTTCTATTTATTAGATGGAGGATGATCTTTCAGCAGGGAATGGCTAAATAACAGATAGAAAGCATTAATGCAAAGAGCAATGTAGCAATTTCTATATATATTTCCGAGTTAATTTCCCTTAAAACGTGGGGTCGAGCTATTAACGCTAAACCCAGACAGACGACACTGTGATGCAACCATTGATAGAAGACCAAAGGGGAAAAATATATAATTCTTCGACTGTTAATTGAAGTACAAAGTATATTGTATTAAAGGCAATAAAATTCAGATTAACTTTAAAGCATTATCAGTCGCGCGAATATTTTAAAGTAATTACGCCTGTTTTTGTTCATTCTATAGTCGGATATCAGGGACGTTATTTCATGAAACCAGAGTTTAGAGAGAGGGTAACGAGATCTCCATTTAGCAATATTGTCACCCATTGCCAACTTTCCTCGCCATAATTTAATCAAGGCTTTTATTTGTCGTGGAAATGAATTTCATCTCTTCTCATCTTTCTGTCAATATCATGAATTTTGTACCAGTGCACGTCTAGATCACAATATATATCGGGGTTCTAGTTTCCAAAGCAATATTAGTTAAAAAAAAATTGCAATGTAAATGTGATTGTCCCGAAGTTTTCCATTTTATTTTCATCAAAGGTTTGAGAAGTATACTAGTATGTGCTACTTTGCGAGACAGATCTCATGTTTATGTCAAAATATTAAATATGAAAACATATCACAAAACTATTTATTTATCAAATATGCATGTAAATATACATGTTTTTGATCATGAATTATAGCATATGCATTCCTATTCCGTAAATAATTTTTTGTGGCTGTATATAAGTTATTGCATTGCATTGTTGTACGTCAGAAATGAATTATGCATGTATAGATTGTTTATTTGTGCATATTCTGTGTAGTTTGTAGTTTTTTTTCTATACATAATATACAGTACCTGTGTCTCTGTCAGTTGCAGTTCTGCAGCCAAATCTTTTCTTTCTTGTCCGACGACATAATGACTTTTTTCGAACGCCTTCTCGAGTTGAAGAAGCTGTGAAGGGGAAAATGCGGTACGTATTCGCTTGGGTTTTCTGTAAGGCTGGAAAAGAAAACCTGGAGCCGCTGCAATGAAAAACAAACCCAGTATAATATACATGTATCATTATAGAATAGCATTCTGAAAGTTTTAATTACATTTAAAATCTACGGTCTATTTTGCGCTGGCATGCGTGGTATAAATCGGTGAAATATGCATGAAGGTCATTTTGATCATGTACTTTCTTTGACATCTACAAATTTTGCATAATCCCCCTTATAACATTCAATGAAAATTAACCTTGGTGCAATTTGAAACAAATTATAAATTTGCATATCAGCTTTTTCATTCATGGAAACATACTTTATCAAAGGTCTCATAAAAGACAGAAAGGTCTTGGATAATTATTACTCCTATAAAACAGCTGTATTTTACCAGGGAGATTTAATATTAAACGAAAACAAGTCATGGGAAATTATTTAGCCTCGCTGTCATTCTCAGGAGGATGACCTTCTCTTCAGAGGTCAAAGTGCAAGGCAACACTCGTCTTTATGATGAAAAATCCACTACTGCGATTAAAATTAATTTACGTTAAATGATAATTATCATAATAATGGTACAAACATGTAAATATCGCAATTAATTGTGTCTTTATAAATTAGTCTCCGTGAGTCAGTGTGTTTTAAGTTATCCTGGGACAACGTCGTATCAAGGAGGCAGTTTTGCAGTATTTTTTAAACACAAAAGCTGTTATATTTTATAGTTGTCATAGAATTATTAATGAGCTTTCGTGTTTATGAATGGTCCTACGACACATTTCGGCAACTAATGCGCGCAAAAACAGAAAATAGATTGGTTTTTAGTGTCAAGCTGGAAAATTAAGAGCTGCACGGCGTTTTCATCTCGTTTCATTTTAATTCTATTCAAGACGTAAATAACAAGTCTTGTTTTCTGCTCTCATACACTTCTATGATACATATTAATTAAGTAATATTTTTGTCTTTTTTCTAATTACCATACATCGTATTTCATCCCATTTTGTTGTCCATATAAACAAAAAACGATGTATATCTGTACAAATGAAATTTACATGAAACAGCAATAATTGAAATAAAGTGGTATCAAACAGATAAATTATAGGTTAAGAATGATTTTCCATAGACAGAAAACATCAAAGCTTTGGAAATTTATCATTACAACGAATTTTTCAAGAAGTACTTTTCACTCAATGTGATACAGGCACTAAAATCAGCAGTTTTATACTCTGTATTTTTGAATATTTTTAAATCCTTTGAAGAAAAATATCTTACGTGAAATAAAAGCACTGTAGATAAAATCTTTTGTCATCACTTTCAATTCGAGCCAATAGTTCTAAATCTCTGCTTTTGATAAATAATCTTAAAAAAATTATAAACTTGATAATAATTGTAACTGGTGCTTAATATTTTTTTTCTTCAAAGTTATTTCCATAAACATTATTATTTAAAAAATATATCCTTTGATATGATATGATATAATTATATCTTATGACCTGTATTTTAGTGCATTTCTATCGATGTGGACATTATTTTTTTTTTCAATTATATTCATTTTTGATATTTAGAAAATATTATTAAATGAAAATAGAAAAAGGATGCTTCATTGCTATTTTTTTTAATTTGTTAACATAATTAATTCCATTGAATTATATCAAAGTATGACTCTTTTTTAAACAAAGGTTCATCATAAATTTCTATGCACATATATATTTATAATTTTTTTAAATCCCAAAATGCCATTGTTAAAAAAATAATAAAAAAATATCTTTGTTAATGACTAAAAACCTTTATGAGAGATCTGGGGTAGCAATAAAAATTATTTTCTAGTAAATATGAATAATAAATCAAAAAAGATAAAGCTTCATCTTCTTGTGAAATTAAAAAAAATGAAGATTGTTCTTTTCATGAATTTAAACATAGGTAAATGTACATATATTGTGTCTTTGTTATGAAAACATAAAAACACTGCAACTTTCTTACTTCTAAATCTTTTCCTTTTTCATAATATAATCTTTCCGTTATGTAGAATATCGAGAGAATAATAATCCCTCGTTTCTTTAAAGTCACACTCGTGCACGAGAATTAAATGTCATTTTCTCATGAAGAAAGGGCATTTAAAAGAAAGTCTGTTTATTCTTTATTCTCATATTATAATCCCCAACTGATGTGGGAGAAGTAGAAAATTAAGCGATTGGCAAACGATAAACATCCAATTATAAAACGCGATTGTTAATTCAATAAAGAAAGAAAGAAATTTATAAACTTTTTTCCTTTATATTTAGGAAATCGATAAACAGCTGACTATACATTTAAAGCAAGGGAAGTTTAAATAAACCAAGTGATATGTTTTATACAAGATATTCTGGGTGGTTGGGTGATATATAAACCTATAAGATAATAAATTTAGAGGAATATTTGCCCAACTAACGATTAATATGAGGAGGTCATAAAAGGAGTCAATTAGAATTTTAGAAAATCATATCCTTATTCAATTTAATTGTGAAACGTATTTTAAAATCAAGTAAAACAGACTTTCATTTAGAAAATTATGATAACATGTAATATGGTACATGATATTTTCTACTTATATACGTACACAAAGCGTGCTAGTTTAAATATAATTGATCTTAAAGATATGATTTATTCATATTCAATTTATCTATCATTTGTTGACTCGACCAAATTACCTTAAAAAATAAATGAAAATAAGAAGAAAAGCATTTAAACTCAAAATAATTTATCTTTTTTTAAATTAAAAATAAAAGAAGACATTGAAATTTTAGTCATCTATTGACAATTAGCTGGTACCTGTTAAATATGTTTACCTGGGTATCTGGGATAGTAATATCCAGAGTAACGCTCTGATATCCAGGGGTGCAGATGTCTGATATCTCTAGAGGTGGAGGGGTTCAGCATCAGGGGATGAAGAGGGGTAGAGGCTGGTAACTGACCAGGATACATAGAATGTAAATTAAAAGGTGACATGGGGTGACGACACATTCGGGGGGAAAAATATGTTCCCGTGGCCCCCGCAGTTTGAGATAAAACGTCATGTAAATGTTTTAATGATTCTGAAGCACTGTGTGGGTTTGATGCAAGGAACAAATCCCTGTCCCTCCGTGCTGTGGCCAAATCTGGAAAATGTCTCATTGAATCATGTACAACAGGTTCCCTACGCGTTCGTTCCAGATTTTCTGGTCGATCCTGTATCCGCGGCCTTGGACTGTCACTTTTATTGGTCTCTGAATTTAAATGCACATACTCTTCATAATTTCTACCACTCGAAGAACTCTCTGTTTTATCAGAGTCTTTTCCTATTAAAGAATCAATAGTAAAACCAGATGATTTTCTCAAACTGTGTTCCACCATTTTTGTTATCACCATCGGTCCCTTAGAAAAATGTCTAGTCTCCTCATCAACTTGTATTTATCCAGATTTATCTTAATGTATGCGACAAAACATTGGAAAAGTTCGAGCTGAAATCTATTTAGACACTTATCCGATTTCCTTCAGTGACAAAGTGCAGTCACACTATTATCTCTATCAAATGGTAGGCTGTCCTTGCGAAACATAGCCCCGCCTTCCTCCTGTGTAATCAAATGAAAATTGTGAGGAGGGCGTTACTAAATCCCAAATTATTCTTTTTAGTACATGCAACATCGCTGCTGCATTTTTGAAGATTTAAAAAAAAAAGATTTACAGCCCACGAATGAATTTATTCTGTATTCTGTGTCACTGTATAAACCTTGAATATATATATATATATATATATATATATATATATATATATATATATATATATATATATATATATATATATATATATATATATATATATATATATATATATATATATATATAATATTTTTATATTTAATCAAGAAATCATTTAGAATGTGACATCTAAAAAAAAGTTTGTATCGTCAAGGATGAATCTAGGAATTTTCCATAAGGGAGAGTCCGTACCCACTTCGGCCAAATAAAAAAAAATCCGACTCAGAAATATTTGAAAAGCAAAAAGAAAAAAAGGATCCCCTGAACCCAACTCATCGCCCGCTGGATCCGCTACTGATTCAATATTTTTACAAAAATAATTGGAACAATATCAAAAACTTAAAATTAAATTATTTTCCTTGTGCTTATTATTGTAAGAAAAATTATATCAGTGTCCGATTTGAATCACACATTCATTCCCAACTGACCTATGTCTCTTTTTCTTTTGTGAAACACCAATTTAATCAGTTTTATCATTTTTAATGTTTGTTTCGAAATGATAAAATTGATCATTTCCATTTCAATAATGATTTTTCAATTTCTGTTAATTTTTTTTAAGAAATGAAAAAGAAGAAAAAGGAAAAAATGAAAACGATTTGATAAGGATAACGTTTATCTACTGTGCACATTTGATTTTTTTTTCTTTTAAGTTCAATACAAATATGTGATCTACAAAAAAATAGTATATTTACTTTGAATGGGGGAAAGGGGGTAAATAATGAAATTCAGATGGCACAAGTGTGTAAATTGGTTCAATTGTTTATATTTTATCAGAGACTAGAATAAAGCGGAAAATTATCTAGCAAAATACTTTTTGCGTTGTAGTCAACAACTCTATCTCTCTCTGGAAATAAAATATAATACAGCGACATGTTATTTTGTGTAAATTAATTTAGTATTATCTAGCTATTAACGAATAGAAAAAAAATGACCACGCTTCAAAGAAACAGCTACCCATAAAAATTGTGAAAATGGATTCAATTTCCCTTTTTAATATTTTCGCCGCTGGTGCTGGATTTAAATGTTTAGTCATTTAATCAGGTTATACTCTTACAATACAAAATTTCCACAAGTACAAAACCATAACTAACACGATAATAGACCGAAGTACAAAATATATTTTGTTTTTATTAATAATTTTTCCACGTTATATCATCTGAATAAAACATTGTGTCCTTAAAATCTCCATTGTTTTAACCTGTCGGCCTCCCGAAGATGAAACAATTCATGCTTGTATCAATGTTCCTTACTTTGGTTGTTTACGATGAAAATAAATCTAAAATACTTGGGAGTAATATTAATGGACTCAGAATGTCATACGGCGTCCATCCTGTGAAAAATATGCTGCTTTCATTTCTATTTACAAACCATGCATTTTTAATCCACCGCATGAGATGAAATTTCAGAGATTTCACTCCGTTATATTTCCAGTCGATACTTTTGTTGCTGAGATTAATTTCAGAGATACAGGAAATGCTATGCAGAACTCAGAGAATAAAGAAATATACATAAGATAACTTAAGGACACATACCCTAAATCCTACGTTTGAATGAGTAGATTTCCGCTCACCTCGACAGATATGGGACACATGACACATTCAGCTCTCAAAGTCTAAGTTGCCAATAATGCCTGGCAATTGACCTTTAATTGTTTTTATTATATACAACTATCTTGAATATTTGTAAATTATCAAATAAACTAGCAAACTGGGGATTACGTTAAATTTATGCTTTGGTGCAGTGAGTGAGGGTTTTTTTTAGAGCAGGTCAGTGTACTTTGAAATACTTTGAAACTCTACCTACATCACGAGGAGGAAGTCTGCACACCAATGCCATAAATGCTCAGGAATTAACTCCATATCTCAGCTCCAACTGGACCAAAGCTCAATATCTGATAAATCAGAATCTGGGTAAAGTTTATCATAATGCTGCACATGTCTATATTTTTGTGATTAGGTGTTTTTGAAGCAAGTTCATACCAAAATGTCCTTTGTAAAATCTTTAAAAAACCTGGATATAGTATGCAAAATGTTACAAGTGACTAATTCATCCAAAAGATGAATATTGAAATACAAAAGCTGTTAACTGTTATTTACATGTAGTACTCTACGATTTAGTTAACGTTCATTGTTTGTGTGTGACAAAGAAGCATTTTATTGAGAAGAAACTGTATATTCTATTCCAGGGCATTTGGCAAGGGAATAGAAAACAGCCGACTTTGATATAAATCATATTTAATCATTTTTTAATTTTTTTAATGGGATTTTTTTTTTTCAATGACATGTATATATATATTACATGATCTTTATATATTTTACCTCTTTTTCTCGTCGGCTGTCCTACGCCGCAAAACGTCAAAAAGATTACGCCGCTAAAGAAATAAAGAAAAAGTAACATCTATTGTTCAATTATTTCATAATTTATTTGGAATTCTTCCATGTTTACAAATTTGTACATAGGATATCACAAGGCGTCGGAATACAAAGTGTGATATGGGGGAAAATTATTCAGTGAGTGACATCCACTGGATGAAGGGTTAACGTGATAAATGACCAAAGAGAAAAGACACAAAGGATGGATTTACTTTGCACATTGCATGTGCAATGTTTAATTCTTCCCAAAAGTCTGAGTTTTGGGGTAAGTCTGAATAATATTTTACCGATTGATATGTCCTAATGGGGAACCCTTTATTGTAATCGCAAGATATCCCATACGTTTCCACAAATTTGTCATCTATCGAAAGTAAGCCTTTCATTTCTCACATCTTAAGTTTGAAGACAATACCTGACAAAGATGGATTTCTAGAACATTCTATTCAAAATCAAAGTCGGTCTGAAATTCACACCTGCGAAGCATCATACATCTTGTCAAATCCCCTGAATATTGTTTAAAAAAAAGACAAGTTAATAAGAAAATGATGAGGGGAAAACGTATCTGTATGATACAGAGAATGAATTTACACCTCCCACAATATACACCTACAGATTTTAAAATGACGCAAAAAGAACTTTAAGGGGGCTCTCTACAACGTCACAACATGGCGTACTTCCGTTCGAAACACCATTTGGGTCCGAAATGATCTGATATTCACTGAACATCGATGAATCACCGGGTATAACACAACTTCCGATATGTATACTAGCTCTATTGTGAATGGAATCTATCCCCTCGAGGCGACGAAAGTGACCAATGTACCCTTTCATTAAACATGATTTGTTGGTCAATATATTCAATTTAGACTTATTTATTCACAAACAATATAATTTATTAAAATATGATAATAAGTTATAAAAAGTTAATATAATAAACCAAAGCCTTTGTCACCATATTTGATCATTTGCGTGTCAAACCCACTCATGTTTCCATAAAATCCTAAATTGATGTTTCCCTCCAAAAGCATATGCTTTCCAGCGAAATTTATCCAAAAATGCAAATTTAAACAGATAAGGCATATGTATCACCTTCCCATCGCCTAGAGGATACACCCTGTTTCCAACAAGTGTACACCCTGCATATGTGGTTATACCCGGTGAAATTGAATCTCCATGAAATCACCAAAACGCTTCGATAATAAGTGGAATTATATTAACTCAAACGTTTGATCAACGTTGATTATCAGCTGTTTTGTATGGAAAACGTGCAGAAGTAGGAATTTTGTTATACGAATTTCTTTATTTCTTTAACTCGCTTTTGACCGTTTACGTGTCATGTCATCCGAAGCACAGGATAATGCATGTACATACAAGTTGGATGAAAACGGTAAGTAAATCTACCTTTCTCAATACTATGAATTCATTTTACATGTCTTTGACTAGAAACGTTTGGGTCTTCGATTAAATTCTTTTTAATTTAAAAACAATACAATACGAACTTCTTTTGGTGTCCTTGTTTGGCATGTACTTATTTATTCTTTTTTTTTTTCATAACCTGTGCAAGTTTTAGACGAATTAGATTCAATATATAAAAAAACAATACCAAGATATTTGAGCCCGCTCTTTAAACGGATCTTTGACACCTAATTTTTTGTGATGTTTAAATTTTTTGTCAATTTCATTCAATTTCTTTTTTATATCATTTTAACCCTTTGATATTATATTTATTTGCAGATTTTGGAAGAAATCCATCCAGTTCTTCTCATGAAAATGCTGTTTTAGTTTTTCTTTTGTCTATTATTGTAGATTCAAATAGATTTCATTTATAACTTTATTGGTTTTCATTTCAAGATTTTACAACAATAAACTTTGAATATAAAATTAAAGCATAAGGCTTTTAAAAATAAAGAACTAAGGGGTTTCTACAAAATAAATTAAATATTTTAAATATTTCCAAAAAATAAAGTTAAATACTTTGGAGCTTTATTTTATTGGATATTGAGTCTTTTATTAGAAACAAATGCATGAAACAAAAATAATTTATACTTCATAGGTGTAGAGATCCTCCTTAAAAGTTTAAAGTACCGTGAAAGATTTTTCAAAGAAATAAACAGGTATATTTTGACAGTGGTAAATATCTGCAACACCGTACACGCAATCAACATGTCATGTTCAGTTTTGACTAGTTAGCATGAAGAACTGAAACAAGAACAGACAAATAATTTTTCAAATCCTTTGGCATCACGTGTGCTGTCATGTGACACAATGCATTAACAAAATAAATGCCAGAGTCAGTATATGCTCGCCTGTGTAACCTTAAACCAGCGGTAAAATAACAATTGCTGTAATCTTGCTGTA